CTGGGAAGAGCGCAATGATGGTGCCAACTTGGGCCAGTGAAGCAACGTCCTCCACAACTAGACTGAAGAACAAAAGAACAACAACTTGTCTGTTCCCCTTCCCCCAATTCCCCAGCGCTATTCCCATCCCCCAAGCCCCCAATAAAAAAATCTTTAAAAAAAAAAAACAAAAAAAATTTAAAGGGACTTCTTTAAGAAAAAGGGAGGAAAAATTAACATAAGTATGAATAATAAAATGGCAATAACTACATACCTATCAATAATCACTTTAAATGTAAATGGATTAAATACTCCAATCAAAAGACATAGGGATAACTGAATAGATAAGAAAACAAGACCCATATATGTGCTATCTACAAGAGATCCATTTCAGATCGAAAGACACATGGAGACTGAAAATAAAGGTATAGAAAAACGTATTTCATGCAAATGAAAATAAAATATCAGACAAAATAGATGTTAAAACAAAGGCGATAATAAGAGACAAAAAAAGACTTTTCAAAATTATAAAAGGACCAATCCAACAAGAGGATATAACCCTTGTAAACATTGGTGCACCTAACATAGGAGCACCTAAATATATAAAGCAAATATTGATAGATATAAAGGGAGGGGTTGACAGGAATACAGTCATAGTAGGGGACTTTAACAGCCCATTGATATCAATAGATAGATCTTTCAGAGAGAAAATCAACAAGGAAACAGTGACTTTAAGTAGCACACTAGTATTTAGTTGATATTTGTAGAGCATTTCACCCCATAACAGCATAATATACATTCTTTTCAAGTACACATGGAACATTTTCTAAGATAGACCACATGTTAGACTACAAAACAATTCTCAATATACTTAAGAAGACTGCAATCATATCAAGCACCTCTGTCCACAATGGTATGAAACTAGAAATCAGTTACAAGAAGAAAACTGAAAAACATATGAAGTCTGAATAATATGCTACTAAACAATGAATGAGTTAACAGTGAGATCAAGGAAGATACAGAAGATACCTTGAGACAAATGAAAATGAAAACACAATGACCCCAAATCTATGAGGTGTGATAAAAAATTATGGTGAATGTNTTAGTACACAGAAAAGCCTGTTCATTACTCTGCCATTGACCATTGCTGCAATATCAGATTTTAGGTTTCTACTCTTATTCAAAGATATTTCACAGAATAAGGCACTCTTTTCTAATTTTTTTTTTTTTGTAGCTGAATAAAGAAAAAAAATAGCCCTTAACAGTAGGCAATGTCTAAAAGAAAAAACAAAGTAAGCTAATTGTTGCATTAGTTTGGAAGTCATTTGAAGAGACCATAACCTACTTATTAATTTACCTTAAAAGATAAATCTGTGGCAGGGGCATTTTTCAAAGCAACAGTGACATTTAAGCTTTTTCTGAAAGGTTGTGTTCTTTTTCACCATTCTAGCTGTTCTCCTTGGTTAAAAAATCTTGCCTACTTAACACTTATCAGCAACATTTGGTTATTGATAAGTGTTTGTTGAATGACTGAATGAATAAAGAAATGGTTCATTTACTAACAAGTTATGGAAAAATTTGAGGGCAATTTTCCTGAGCTCAGAAGTTTGTATAATATATATATATATATATATATATATATATATATATATATATATATATACACACACATATCCCTGCCTCTGTAGCCATAATGTCTTAAACTGAAGAACTCTGATACAGCACTGTCCATCTCTTTTTTAAAATCCTTTTTTAAATTTAGTTTATTAAAGCAACACTAGTTAATAACATATAGATTATAATTCAATATCTGTGTTCTCTATTGTATGTTCCCCACTTGAAATCTAGTTTCCTTCAGTTACCATATATTTGACCCCTTTACCCAATTAATCCTCCTCTCACCCTGCTTCCCTTCTGGTAACCACCATTCTCTTGTCTATAAGTTTGTTTTGTTAGTTTGTTACTTTTTGCTTTCTAGTTCACATATGAGTGAAATCATAGAGTTTTTGTCCTTTTCTGCCTGCCTGACTTCACTTAGCATAATACTCTCAAGATCCAACCATGTTGTTGTAAATGTCAATATTTCATCTTTTTTATGACTGAGTAGTATTCCATTGTGTGTGTCTATCACATCGTATTAACCAGCCACCCCTCAATGTACACTTAGCTTGTTTCCCGTCCCTTCGGATGTGTAAACACTGCTTAGGTAGCCTGACTCCTTCGTGACTCATTTCCAGGCAATGCCTCGAGTTCTTCATAGGTTACAGACAAAAAATTATTTGTTAATAATATTCATTTTAGTATTTAGAATACAATTTAGAATTACGTGCCTTTAATGTACATGTAAATAATCTAAAAACATGAGACTTTGTCATGTGCGCACACTCACAGCGATCAGTCACATGTAAGCATCCTTTTCGTTCCTACTTCTTGTGCTTATTTGAAACCATTTAGTTCCCCTCATTCCCATGGACTGTCAGAAACAGGAAAGTCCCATGTGAGTGTTAGAATATCCCCCCCCCTCTCTCTCTCTCTCTGTCTCTCTGCCTCCCTTCCAGGCCATCTGATCCCAAAAAAGGGTGGGACAAAGCTGGAAAAGCTTGGTATCTTATGGACAAACATAATGCCTCCTCTTCCCAGTCCATCACTGTTATGTCACCACTGGGTGACCCACTGCCCTCAGGGAGAAGCATCCTCATGAATTGGGGCCCCTTCCATTGTTTTCATGGGATACAAAACAACTCAGTGAGCTCAATAATGAAAAATAAATCAATCCTATTGTTACATGGGGAATTTTTTTTCTATTATAGTTAAATATCCATAACATAAAGCTTATTATTTTAATCATTTTCAGTGTATAGCATTAAGTACATTCACAGTGTTCTGCAACTATCACCATCATCCATATCCACAACTTTTTCATCTTCTCCAGCTGAACCTTTGTACCATTAAACACTAACACCCATCCGCCTCCCTGTTTGTTTATTTTTAATACATAGGGAAAGCAAGGAAATGAGAGCACACCAGGCTAAGATTTCTATGGAAAATAGCAAAGCCATCAGCCAAGATAAATCCATCAAGAATAAAGCAGAACGGGAAAGGTAAGTCTGAAAATGCCCTCTGTGGGAATATCGCATCAACT